CACATCGGCGGAGTCACCAATATGCACTTGACGAATCCCTCTTGGTTGCTAGGCGCAGGGGACATCTACAGCACAATTCCCTAGTTTCTATGAGAAATTTCAAACGGAAGATCCGATGTGGTCCCCAGACGTGAGAACGGCTCTTCCATCTGCCACATGGGGACTAAGTCAGAACACAGGCGGCTGGGAGCACGCGAGGCCCTACCTGAGGATGCTCTGGTCCAGGGCCTGGATCTGCCGCTGGTCCTGCTGGTTCTGCCGCTTCAGCTCCTCCTGCTCCTTCCCGCCGCCGCCGACGCCGTCCAGCAGCCAGCTCTCTCGCAGGGCCTTTTTCTGAGTCAGGGGACACAGAGACCTTTCCTTAAACCAGTCCACAGCCCCCCACCTCGGACCCCTCTCAAATCTAGGAGTTTCAACACGGCATACTTCAAAGAGAAAGTATCCTCTCTCACCCCTTGCCTGAATAAACCTGGCCTTTTTTTTCTTTGCACCCTTCTTTTTTTAAAAAAAATATTTTTATTGAATTCAGAGAGGAAAGGAGAGGGAGAGAGAGAAACATCAATGATGAGGGAGAATCATGGATCGGCTGCCTCCTGCACGCCCCCTGCTGGGGATCAGGCTTGCAGCTGGGGCCTGTGCCCTTGACCAGAATCGAACCCAGGACCCTTCAGTCCATAGGCCGATGCTCTAGCCACTCAGCCAGACCAGCCAGGGTGGTGAGTTGGAATGTTGTCCACTTCACCAAAACGAAGGAGATTTCTGTTTCACTGTAAGGAAAGGAAATCCCCTTGAACCTGCAGGAAGAACTGTATTCCTGAGCCCGAGCCTGAGCCCGAGCCCGAGGAGAGGGAAAGCCGGTGGGAGAGGCTTTTGCCGGCATCCTGTTCGCGTCTCCCGTAGCAACGGCTGGATAGTATTTTGAAAGAGTTTGCGTTCCCCCTTTTCTTTCCCGAAGCAAAATGCGTCTCGGTATGTCTAGCACCGCTGTCCATCATTCGCTCAATAACATTCCACTGGGACCCTCTGTGTCCAAAAGGGTGAGAATAGGAGAAGGGGACCTTTCCCTTATGTCCTGGGACGTCTCTCTCCACCGCACACGAGAACCAGGAAGAAGGACTTTCGTTTCTTCCCGAAGGGTGCTAGGGTGACTGCGGCGGGAATATAAATGTGTCTGAATTTTTAAAAGAAAGTTTAAATGAGGTTGTGCTGGATAGTCACCAAAGGACGGTTACTTGAAGGCAATCGTTTCACAGTGTTGAGAAATATGGCACTGCCCTGACCGGTGTGGCTCAGTGGATAGAGCGTCGGCCTGCGGACTCAAGGGTCCCGGGTTCGATTCCGGCCAAAGGGCATGTACCTTGGTTGCGGGCACATCCCCAGTGGGGAGTGTGCAGGAGGCAGCTCATTGATGTTTCTAACTCTCTATCCCTCTCCCTTCCTCCCTGTAAAAACTCAATAAAATATATTTAAAAAAAGAAAAGAAAAATATGGCACCGATGATCGGTGAACGTGGTGGGAAATGCTAACTGGCAGAATAGAGGAGGCCTGGCCTGCCCCGAGGGGCGCGGTGGGCGGCCTGGGAGCCGGGACGCACGGAACACCCTTTGCAAACCACGGGGGTGAGCGACGCCCTCCTCCCAGGTCACGGTGTTCGCGTTGACCTCTCAGAGTTCAAGGGCACGTGGACAACGCGCCCAGCGAGCCAGAGCGTCCTCAGTCTCTAATTACAGCCGCCGAGCTGCTTGTGAAAAGGTTTTCCCACAGACACAGTCCGTGTTATCCCCACAGCTCAGGGCCGATCTCCCGAAGCTCAAGACGCCCCGTGGGCCTGAGTTGCCGCATTTTTGAAGAATTCACCTGGATTTTAATTTGCTTTCATTTGGCGGATGATGGTGCCCAGTAACGCAGAGGCGGTCCCTGTCAGAGGGCGTCGCTGCCCTTCCCAGCCCCCTCGCTGGGCAGTGCCAGCCAGTCACGTGCGGCCCCGTCACTGCCTGGCCATCAGGGCAGGCTGGCCCGTGACGCTGGCGGTACACGGAGAGCGAGCCTTGTGGCGTGATTACGGCCGCGAGGGGCTGCCTCCTTGGCGCTCAGCCTGGCGGGGAAGGAGAGGGATTTTCCTTTTAGCCGCATAAGACGTGGTGCGTCACCCAACCTCGCCATTTCCCCTGGCAGAGAGCGCGTCGCAGGTAACGGAAAGCCTATCGCTTGGATGTGCAATCAGAATGCCGCGGTGCCGTATTCTAGTAATAAAAACAGTTACTTTGCTTTTATGTCACGAGTTAGACTTAAGCATGGGAGGTTCATGAACATATAGGTTCTAGTTCACAGTGACATTCAGAATCAAAGGCATATTAACTACGTGAAAATGTAAGTGGTGGGAGTCAGGCATTTTGGCAGTTAAAGAATTATATTTGCTTATATTTTCTGGTTATTTTGGGCAGTTTTTAAAAAAATATATATATTTTTCAGAGAGGAAGAGAGAATGTGAGAGCGATAGAAACATCAGTGATGAGAGAGAACCATTGATGGGCTGCCTCCTGCACACCCCCTACTGGGGACGGAACCCAAAACCTGGACATGTGGCCCAACTGGAATCCGACCGTGACCTCCTGGCTCATAGGTCAATGCTCAACCACCGAGCCACGCCGGTCGGGCTGGGCAGTGTTTTAGGGAAAGGTTTCCCGAAGCACTTCTACGTCCTACACATCATGGCACAGGCGTTGGGAATCAATTTATTTTTCAAACCCTGAATTCGATGGACTCCCAGAAAAGAGACATTTTCTAGGTTTGGTGTATTTTATGTGTCTCCGTGGCTTGAGACTCTGACCAGGATGCTTGGCAAGATGACCCGCAGGGCAGGCCCGGGTGTCAGGACGCTAACAACACCCCGGGAAAGCCACCTGCCCAGCGCGCGGTCGGGGTGTTTGCAGGACCCGGAGCGAAGGGGTGGGAGGGAGTGCCCGCAGCTCTTTGTAACGAGTGCGCTTCCTGTGTGTGCACCTGCGTCGCTTAGGGTGCTGGCTGGAGCGGACTGACCAGGCCCGCGGTCAGCGAGGTGGGGCGGGTGTCCGGGCTCGGGGACAAGCGGTGAAGAAGCCAGTGAAAGGGACACTGGTCGCGCGGAGGCCAGCGCGCTCTGGGCGTGGTGCGCCTCTCCGGGATAGGTTTTCAGATGCTCGCCCACATTCCTGAGCTGTGCTCTGGCCGGATGCCTGGTGGCCGCTGGGTCAGCCAGCCCTCTCCGCAGAGCTGGGAGAGGAGCCTGCTCACCAGACGCCCTTTCCTCCGCCCCTCGGCCTCCCAGGCAGTCTCATGGCGGCACAAATGCCTCCCAGGTTGCGTGGCAGCTTCCACGGTGAGGGCGCAGGCCGGACTTCGTTTTATACTCTTTGGAAGCTTTGGCGAGCGTCCAGCTTAGTGCCTGGCACATAGTAGGTGTTTAAGAAATCGTTACTGTCCCGGCTGGTGTGGCTCAGTTGGCTGAGCGCCGTCCCGCACACCGAGAGGTTGCTGGCTCTACTCCTGGTCAGCGCACAGGCCCCGCTGGCAGGTTCCGTCCCCCGTCTGGGTGCGGATGGGAGGCAACTGATAGATGTTTCTCTCTTCTCTCTCTCTCTCTCCTCTCTCTGAGGGAGAGAGGAGAGAGAGGGAGAGTCAGCGACCCACAGCACTGATTTTGGAGTTAGAAATGGCCCATCTCAAAAACTGTTGTAGGTTTGACTTCTGACTTCGGTCGAGTTGCAGTGAAATAACTTGGTAAAACTGGTTCTCATTCCCTTGGTTTTCCCGGGAGTACACACTGCATTTCCTGGCTGTGTCCGCTGCTCGATAACTCAGTGGACACCCTAGGGTAGCAGGCCAGCCCTGCCTCCCACCGACCCGCCAGAGGCGGACACGCCAGTTCGTATGGGAGCAAAGACACACAGAATCCCGAGCACCGGGGCCCTGGAGTCTCCAGCGACGTGTCTGCTCAGAGTGGCCCTTGCTCCGCCAGAAAGATGGGCTGAGCTGAACGGGCCTCTCTGACCTCGGGGTGTGGGACCCATGAATATAGGCCGATTCCACTAGGGCCGTGGTTGGCAAACTGCGGCTCGCTGGCCCCTGGAGTGTGGCTCTTCCACAAAATACCGACTTCTGCGCATGGGCCACGAAGTTTCAATCGCACTGTACGTGCGCGCCTGCACGTGGTATTTTGTGGAAGAGCCGCACTCAAGGGGCCAAAGAGCCGCATGTGGCTCGAGAGCCGCAGTTTGCTGACCACTGCACTAGGGGCTTGTCACCCCTCTGGTAGCAGCCCGCCACCCGACAGCTTCCTGCTGGGGCCTGCTCAGGGAGCCCAGGTTGTGGCCTGGTTGCCTCCAGTGGCAGCCACGCAGGAAATGCTGAGCCGCAGCTGCTTTAATTACAGCGGCCACACCCACGGGAGAGGGAAAGTCTGATGTTAAAATGGAGCTGTATTTTGGGTTATGATCTCATGTTCCGTCCAAAGAAAATAAAACAAAGACCCAAACCACTCTCAGCCAACATGGCGCCCACTGGGCTGAGCTCTCAGGCCCCGAGTCCTTGGTGGGCCGGGCGGGGTCGGGCCTAGCCCCCGGGGAAGGGCGGGCCTTCTGTGGATGTGGAAAGGGACTTCCTCGTGGCCCCGCCCCGGGATGGTAAGCAAGGCCGTGTCCTGGGCCAGATGCCAGGGCTGAAGCCTCCCTCCCGTGTCCAGGCACCTGAGGACACTCAGGAGTAAAGGCCGACCAGTGAGAATGCAGGCTCAGTTCTGCACCTGCTGCCCGGAAGGCGGACGCCACTGCTTGTCGGCCTCTCTGAGGCCAGGAGGATGCTGGGAGGGTGCCGGAAGGGTGCTGGGAGGGTGTTAGGAGGGTGCCGGGAGGGTGCTGGGAGGGTGTTAGGAGGGTGCTGGGAGGGTGCCGGGTGGGTTCTGGGAGGGTGTTAGGAGGGTGCTGGGAGGGTGCTGGGTGGGTGTCGGGTGGGTGCTGGGAGGGTGCTGGGTGGGTGCTAGGAGGGCTGTGCAGGGCTGTCTTTCTTCCTAACGCAATTTCCTGTTGAAACCCGAGTGCCAAGAGGGCCCTGAGGACAAAGCCGCTGGGAGGAAGGAAAGACACGTTACCTTCAGGTGCTGGTGCTGCAGCTTCTCCTCCTCTATCTTCAGGCGCTTCTCGGAGATTTCCTCCTGTATTCTCCTTTTATCCTGAAATACAAAAGTCCTGGCGTCACCTTTCCCATTTTAAATCGGTTTCCTTAACCGCGTGTCCTCGGGTTGGTGCCGGGGTGGAGAGGGTGGCCAGCGACGGCCGCCTGGCACGGGTACGAGGCTGCTTTGCAAACTCCTGCTGCGCAGCAAGGAGAGCAGAGGGGCCGTTCAGGGCACCTGTGGCTGGAGGGCGACACGGTGCTTTTTCAAAGAGAACCAAGCCGCTTCCCTGCCTCCCCTGCCCCTCTCCTCGCTCTGTCTTCCCCAGGAGCCAGCGAGGTGGAGCTGTGGAGGACAGGCTGGTGGTTCTAGAGCAGGCGTGTGGGGACCCGGGGTACGGCCTGGCCCGGGGGATTGTGGCGGCCATGAGGGGGCCGGGCGGGGGCCTGAGGCCCCAGGGGACCACTCTGTGATGTGTGGGGTTGTCTGGCCACCGGGCTGTGTGCCTGAAACTAATGCAGAATGGTGCTGGGTGTGAGCTGTGATGGAAACATTTCACAAACGTAGATGATCAGGAAAGACAACGAAAGATTGAGCTGCGGAGAGGTGCGATGGGAAAGCGAGTTGAGGGAGGCGCTCTGAAGGAGGCCGGGGAAACCCTGGGGAGAAGGACTCGTCCAGGCGTGAGGGCCAGGAAAAGGGCGGTGCGTGTGGGAAAGCAGGCCAGACCCGGGAGCTGCCCCGGGCACCGTTCCCTCCTTGTGTAACTGGCTGTGGGAAGACGGAGAGAAAAGGGGTGAGGCACTGCTTGTCAACTCTGAGGTTAAAACCAAACTCATGGAGCGAGTCAGTAGCTTTCACCAACTTCCAACTGCAGAACCGCACAAAACCCCGAACGCATGGCTGGTCCTGCACGCGGCCTGCACCGTTGAGAAAAGGATAGCACATGCACTGCATCGCCTGGGCTCCATTTCCGGCTCCGCCACTTGCCAGCTCCGTGTCCCTGGACAAAGGGCTTAACTTCTCGGTGCCTCGATCGCCTCATCTCTACCACATGGGTAATTACACTGCCTGCCTCATGAGGCGTTGGCATGAAATGAGCGGATATGTGCAAGAGTTCCTAGAACAGTGCTTGGCACAGGGTCTCCTGTGAGCCTCCGTGGGATAAAATTTGCTAAATAAACCTGTTAACCACACAGAACGCCAGGCACTCGTTCTGATCACGCGTGCAGCGGCCGGAGGCGTTTGAGAGATTTTACAAGCTTCGCAAAAAGGCCGTTTCCTTCTGGTCACCATTGTCATTTTTTACCGGAGGTGACAATGCGGTCCAGCTGACTTATAAGAGTTGGTTTTAAATCTGCTTCCAGAAAAATGGAGGCTCCCACAGGACAGAAGTGTGTTGCCAATGGAGACATCGGGAGGGATGGGAAGCCGGCTCGGAAGGCGATTAGAAGGAAGAGATCCAAACACACTTGGCAGCGTGACCGCAGCCGGGCGGCCTCCCCAGGCGGCCGCTTTGAAGATAAGAACTCGCTTTGATGTGGAAGCTCAGGTACATTTGTTGAAGGAAAACAACGCCCTGCGCTCCAGCCTGATGTCATTGTTCGTCCCTGCCTGGAAGGAGGCGATGACCTCACCAGGCATCTTCCGGAAGCCGCTCTTTTGGAAAAACAATCGCCAGGCAACCAGTGGGCCACTTCTTTCCCTTGGATAAGATCTGGCCATTGGGAAGAAAAACTCCCCAAACGCGTGAGTCAGGCCGCCACCCTCTCTGGAGGCTGCTATCGAGCAAATACTCGTCATATTTTAACTTTCTGCGCCAAACGCTGTGGCACGTCGTTATGGGCACCGTTTCACTCGATAGTTATAACAACACGATGTGCTGTGATATTTCCCTTAATAGTCATAGTTACAGGAGGCATCGCAGGAGGAGAAGCGGGTGTGGGGAGTCACTGGCCAATCCACGCTCTCGCAACCCGTCGGTGGCAGAGCCGGGATTTTTTTCTTTTCCCCAAATAGAAAGTTTTATTCTAAGGGAGGAGTTTGGGCTTGGCCGGCATCGGTTTCTCCTTTAGGAATGAAGTATACGTGGTGGTGACTGCACCAACACACAAGATGCCATTTAATAAATTAAACTATAATGACTGTTTTTACCGGTTTACACTGGATTTTTATTGATTAAATTTTCCCCACAAGAACAAAAGCCCCCAAATTCTTTTCTTCTAAATATATTTTTATTAATTTCAGAGAGGAAGGGAGAGGGAGAAAGAGATAGAAACATCAACGATGAGAGAGAATCATTGATCAGCTGCCTCCTGCACACCACCTTCTGGGGATCGAGCCCACAACCTGGGCATGTGCCCTTGATCAGAATCAAACCCGGGACCCTTCAGTCCACAGGCTGACGTTCTATCCACTGAGCAAAACCGGCTAGGGCTTTAATTCTTATTTTTTGAAGGCAAGGTAACAATGAAACCAAAACCCACCCCAAATTGGGACCCTCCCCCCAAAGTAAACACTAGGCCAATATCTTTCAAGAATATTTAGGAAAGAGAAAGCTCAATAAGATATTAGAGACAGAATCCAGAGCGCATCAGAAGAGCTATGTACTTTGTCCACGTGTAGGATTTTTTCAGTATCGCAAGGAGGGTCAGTATTAGGAACGACACACTATGATTAAAGCACTTCATCCCCTCAGCACATCTAAGCGGGAAACTCCTGTTTCCATTTCCACAGATTCCCAAAAGACATTTGACAAAATTCACCATTTAAAAAATTTTAATGAGACATTAAAATTATAAAGAGAATTCCCTAACTTGATAAACTAGATTAATCTCAGCTCAAAAGGAAACAGCATGCCCAGTGTGGAAAGGGATCCGCATTTTAAATATTAAATTGAGTTCGGTTCCAGCAGTAGCCAGTAAAGTTAGACGGAAAAAGAGAAAGGAAATTAGAGAAATAATTAGTGGGGCCCCATGTTAATGTATAGAAGTCAATTCCTCCGACACATACAAATCACAATGAGAAGATACAGGGGAAGAAAGAGCTCTACTTGTTCTAGAAACTAGAAAAACTGAAACACCGTGGAGTGAGCTTCACGTCAACAAGAACTTGTAAAACATTCCTAAGGGACACAATAAACTTGAATTAATAAAACTGGTGCCACCTTACGATTAGGAAGACATCATGAAGACATGGTGAATGCCAATTCCCCATAAGTTGTTATTCTCCACGAACTGTTTGTTCTCCATCCATTTCACGTGGTCCCCACCCATGCACCGACGGTTGTGTCGTGGGAGGCCGTCCTGTGGTAGGATGTTGAGCGGCATCTCTGACCTCCACCCATTGGCTGCCAGGAGTGCCCCCGAGAAGTGATAACCGAAAACATCTCCAGTCCTTCTTCAACGTCCTGACTGAGCACCACGGAGAGACGCTAATCTCCAGCACCCACCAGCTAGTGAGATCCGCTGCGTGGTGGAGCGTGAGAAGAGACAGACGTCCCCAATGGCCATGAAAACGGGTTTTACCGGGTCAACATGTTGACCTACCAGTGAGAGCACACGGTGGCTGGCTCCCTGATGCCTCTAGCTTCCCGGCAGGAGGCGGGCGTGTCAGAGGTCATCGGCCTCAAGCCAGAACGACACCCACTGGGTCACAGTGCAGATAGGACGTGGGGAATCGGATAGACAATGGGGAAAAATACGGGATAAGGACTCCATCCCTAATGGCGCTAGACCATGTAGTCTGGTGCCATCACCACCGTAAGAGATAGGTTAGGGAGATACGAAGAGTCGTTCTATCAGGAAAAATGTCTTCAGAAAAAAAATGATACCGCAGGATACCTGGGAGTCATCCCTTAACTAAGGAATTGGCACAAAAAAAATAAATAAAAAATCATCAGTGAGTGGAGACTGTTAGGAATCCCGTTCCCGAGTACCACCAGCTGGCCACAGCCCGCCTCCCAAAGCCACGGCCTATCTCTGACCTCAGGACCTCTGGTCCCCCCACGAAGGCTTCTTCAGCGCCCGCACCATCCATCCAGCTGTCCGCCTCTTGCCCACTCGTGGGTGTGATTGATTTGGGGCTTTTCCTTTCTGTCCATCTCCCCTCCCGGCACTGGGGCCGGCCCAACAGCTGCCTTCTGAGGGGAAGTTCTCAAGAAGGGTTTGAGTCCCACCGCCTCGCACCAGCCTGCGGGTGCTTTGCTTTTGAACTTGGATGTTTCCAACGATGGTGTTAGACATGCCTCACGCTCCCCCACCCTCACCGGTGGAAACGAATGGAGAGACACGGCCTTGGTGAGCACAGTGGCCTTCAGAGAGGACAGATGTGCCCGTGAATGGAGGAGGACGGGAAATTATGTGCGGTCCCCGTTAAATCCACGCTGTGGTGCTAACACATGAAATCCCCAGCGGCTCTCGCCTCTTCCTCAAGCGCAGAATTGCAACAAGTGACATCAGCAACCGCTCCAGGAGAAAGACACACGCACCCCTTTCCCACTGAAAGGAGACCCCTAGTTTTCCCTATAAGAGCTCGTGAGGGTATGTGTCCGTTTTTACAACATGGAAGAACGCGCCCTTCGGCCAAGTTTCTACACTTTCCAGAACCTGGAGGAAATGGTGATATTTCCTCCCATTGAGTGTCCAGTGCAGACGTGAAGGCCTCCTAGGCCCCGTGCCCAGTGCCCAGCGCCAGGGCCAGCCGTGGGAGCTGGGGTTCCCCGCCTCAGAGCGCAGGGGCGGGTCCGAGTTCCCGGTGCGCGCAGGTCACCGGACCGGCACGTGGAGGACCCCGCGCACGGGGGCTCCCCCAGACGCCAGCGCCCCCACGCGCTGTCCTTGCGCCTCGAGGTGCCAACGGTCAGCCTAGCCCTACCCGCCCTGGGATCTCCAAACAGCAAGACCGTCCCGGGAGCCCAGGGGGCCCCTGGACCCCGTCCCCGCCGCCCCATCATGGGCAGCTTACCTGAGCAGGTACCTCCCGCACGGGCCGGGGCTTCGCTGCGGCCCTTCGCCTGGGGGCGCCCGCTCCCCCCGCCCGGACCCGCCCTTCGCCTGCGGGGCCGGGAGCAGGGCCGCGTCCCCGGTGCGCACCCCAGGCTCTGCGCCCCGACTCAACCCCCGCCTCCCCCACCGCCCGGCTGGCACCGGGCCAGGGCCGGCAGGGGCCGGATGCCCGAAGCCAGGAGGCGCCTCCCCGGCCCCCCGCCCGGCCCGGGCCCCGCGGGGCGGGTTGTTCCCACGGCTCCGGCTCCGAAGGGCATGGTGACGCTGCGGATCCCCAGTGCCCGCCAGCCACGGCGCCTGCAGAGCCCGGTGACCATCCAGCTCGCCCCCCCGGAGCGCAGGGGGAGCCTCTACTCGTGCCCCCCCAGCCGAGAGCGCCCCGACCCCTGCGCCCGGGACACGGTGCTGCGGGCGCTGAGCCAGTGCAGCAAAGGACGGGCCAAGTTCGACGGGCCGCTCTGGTTTGAGACCCCGGACGCCAAGAGGAGGAGGCACAGCCCCCAGCGCGGCCGCTCCGCCTTCGCGCCCGTCGGGAGACTCAGAGCGGCCCTGCCCCTGGTGCCCAGGCCGGGGCCGGCTGCGCCCCCTGCAGCCCTGCGGACCGGAGGCCCCCGCCGCCCGCCCTGAGCCGCCC